AGGCAGGGAGGGCAGCAACCATCCAGGATGTTGAAGGAGAAAAGTCAGAATAGAGAGCTTGAGAAGGGGATGGTCTTTATGCATGCACAACAGATGCATTTTTCTACAGTTCCCGCCTGTTGTGGGGGGACATGTGCTTTACCTAGCCTCTCGAGTTACTGTTGCATTGAGTGGGATCCTTAGGTATTCAACATTAGATGTGTGATTCAAAAGAGAGCAGCAGCATCTTTTTCCTTTGTCAGCCCTGTTCCAATCCCTGTCTCCATTCTGCGGTCCCTTTCCAGTTGCAGACCATGAAGAGCTGGAGTGATATGAGGCAAGAGGTGATGTTCCTGACCAATGTGAACGCCTCCAGCTCCTCTGTGCAGATTTACCAGGCTGTTTCACGCATTGTATGTGGCCATCCTGAAGGTGGAGGGCTCAAAATCAAATCCCTCAACTGGTATGAGGACAACAATTACAAGGCACTTTTCGGAGGGAACAGCACTGAAGAAGATGTAATTAATTTCTACGATAACTCCACAAGTAAGTGTAACCCCGCCGTGGCCTCAGGTCCCATCTGCTTCCTGGTTGTCATCTCTACTGCCTCCCAAACTTTCCTTGATGCAAGCAAGTGGTCCTGAGCGGCAGCATACCTTGTGCTATTTCAGGAGGGTGTATGCATGCTGTCTCAACAGCTGAAGGCTGCCTCCTGCGTGCGCCTTTGAGGTCAGCAGGGACATCAGCATGCAAGGAGTTCCCACGCGCCTTCTGTAGAGTCTGCTGCAGGCTGTGCTGTGGTCCTCCTTCAAGAGGAAAGGGAGCCCAGTGGCCTGCAGCCTTTGGAAATCTGGCCTGGTCAGTGCAGGTTTTGCTTGTGCCATGCACTGGGTTGTGCGAGCTGTGCAGAGCTAGCAGTAGCTCTTAATGGTAGAGGCTGGGCAGCTGCTCCTGGCTTGCTGGGCAGACTGCTGACATGAGGTAAGTTTTGAAAGGGCTCCTTGTGGAGCTTCGCAATGGAGGGCTTTTTCTTTGTAATAAGCACTGTGCTTTCAGCTGTGTCTGCCCTTAAAGCATGCACAAGTGGGGAATTTGCCGTCAGCAGTTGTTGTGGGGCTGTTCAGCTGCTCACCCTTACCCTTCCCTCTTCAGCACCCTACTGCAATGAGCTGATGAAGAACCTGGAATCCAGCCCGCTCTCCCGAATCATTTGGAGGGCTTTGAAACCTTTGCTGATTGGGAAGGTCTTGTACACTCCGGACACACCAGCTATACGGAAGGTCATGTCTGAGGTAACGCTAGCCCTCCCTGCTTTATGTAGAGCTTGAGGTGTACCGCTCCGTGGTACGCGCTCTGACTGTACCGCCCGGCTGCTCTGCGTTGAGTTGGGCCCAAATGTAAGCCTAGAAAGGACTGCTAAAAAGCACAGAGCCTCCCTATTCTCCCGCCTCATATACACTTGTTGGTGAAGAAGAGAAGGCAAGGCTGAACTCCTTTTCGAGATCTCACTGGGAGATTTCCTGGTGGGTGATTTTTTGATTACCTGCACTCTTGGCACCTCTGATGTGGAACTGGGAAGGACCTTAGTAAGCCTTCAGGTGTCCTTCCTCTCCTCCACTGCAGGTTGGTCAGCTGATCCTTAATCATTTCCGACTGTGGTTCACTTAATGTGCTCTCTAGTCCCCTCAGCTCCCTCAGGAGAGTCTTCTAGCACGTGGGGAAGGGCTGCCACTATGACCCCTTCCTTGCCACGCCCGGCTCATTTTACACACCGTAGCCATGAAAGGCCATGCTCTGAGCAGGCCCTGGTCAGCCACAGGCCTCCGCTCCCCGCCGTATTTTAGCTTCCATACGCCCATTATTTCCCCTGCTCCCTTCCTTGCAGAAGCTGAGTTGCTGTTTGAATACAAGCAACCCTCATTACTTCAGTTTACAGGTCAATAGACCCGCTCAGCCTGTGGCAGCTCTGTGCCAACTTTCGGGATGACCTTCCTCTCCCCTCTGCCAACAGGTGAACAGGACGTTCCAGGAGCTGGGTGTGTTTCGTGACCTCGGGGGGATGTGGGAGGAGATAAGCCCGAAGATTTGGACGTTCATGGAAAGTAGCCAGGAAATGGATCTGATTCGGGTCAGTGTGCTGTCCTTGCCATCACCGTCTCCTTCTGCAAAGAGTGACAAAATATTTGTTTTTGGCCATACTTCACTGCTGAGCTGGGTAGATAAAGAGTATGGATGTGACCCCTTTTCTGAGAGCATTTCTGACCCTACCTTTTTGCATGACACTGGGCATTCCTTCAGTCATGTAACGTCCTGCCGCGAGCAGGAGCATGTTTACCTGCTGTTTTTCGTCTGCCTCAGCAGGGAGATGGGCTGTTTCTTCCACACTGCTGCCCTGATGCAGCATAAAAGGCTTGGAGCGTTTTTGTAAACCAGGGGGCAGTGGGGTTGGTGACATGTTCAGCTGCCTATGCCGTGCCCTGCTCTCTCGAGCAGCTGCTTTTGTGATGGCTGCAAAGTCAGCCATCAAATGCCCAGACCAGATCCTGGAAGGTGCCAGGTGCCCTCAGGTCCCATTGAGTACATCGAAGTCCTGTCATGCTAGAGCTGAACCTAGACACCCGGCAATAATTGGGCACAAGCTGTAAAAAACTCATTTGGAATTGCACGGTACACTTAACGTTAGTAATACCTGGGTGCTCGCAGAGGGAAGAGAGCGCACGTCACCCTGTGGCTGATCACTTCATAACGTGCTGTGCATGCTAGACCATGAAGAAGGTGCAGGGGAGACTTGTTCTGATCAGGCATGCTTCCTGCCAGCCGGTAGGTTCCCTGGAGCACTGGTTCCCTGGAGCCAGATGTTAGACCTGTGTGTTACTAGGGCATTATGTGCCCTAAGTAGCTTAGTTTGCTGTTCCTTCCCCCAGGTGTAACTCTAATGGGTGGGTCTCTGCCCCTGTGTACTGGTGGTTTGGTTTTCTTTTTTTGGAATCACAGTGACGTAAAACTGGAATAGCAACACCGAGAGTCAGGGCAGCAGTGCAGAGTAGCTTTTACTGTCGTCTGTACAAGGCAGCTGGGTGAATGTCGTAATGCAGCTGTTGATCTCCTGCAGAGGAGATCTCCCCAGATTTGTTAAGCCTTGAGGTTCACTCCCTCTTTTCCCCCAGTGTAATGGGGGAACACACAGAATAGTCTGTGACTTGTCGTGCTGCACTTCCTCATGAACACAGCATGCTACAGAGGACAGAGGCACCTTTATTGTCACTCTTGTGTCTGTGTTGGCTTGATGAAAGTTATTTTGTGCAGATGCAGGCATCAGGGAGATGAGAATCAGGCCCAGCAACTGTAAATTGAGCCATTAGTGGCAGAGAGCTCTGGCAGAAAGTCAAGGTTTGGATATTGCTTTTCAGTCGTTATGTCCTCTGAAAAGTAATTGTTACTGCACTTTTAAACGAGCCCCAGGCTTTCCTCGGCTTGCATTTTATGCTTGTTGTTAACCCTGCTGGCTCTGATAGGTACTTTTGAATCTTCTCGGTGGTCCAGGCGCTTTCTGTGTGTTGGTGCAGTAGCACAAGTCCCTTTGTCACCTGCTGCAGCCCACACCAACAGGAGTACTTCATTGCGGATGCCTGGGGAGCTCCCAGGCTGCATCCCACTCCACGTAGAAATGGAGCGCTTATGTACGAACAAGCTTAAACATGCAGCTGCCTGCTTGGGGCTACTGTCTGGGGGAGGTCAGTCCTTTGCTGTTGGCAAAACACTGAGGCCGCCATGCTGTCAGGTCCTAGGTTATCATCTCCCAGCTTTCTGGCACATCTATTTGGCACGCTGCTTCCTGAAAATGCTTTCCTCGCTCATCTCTGGCATTTCCACCTTGATGTTGATGCTACCTGCTGACTTCAAGGAGGATGAGAAGTGTCCCTCTGGGCTACTTTCCTTTAATGCCTCTGCTGAATGTGACGACCACCTTCCCTGCCAGCATGGTGCCTTTCCCCCAAGGCAGGGTGGGATGAGCTGACCTTGTGGGACCAAACGTGAAGAGAACGCAGCCCAACCGATCCCCTTTCATCCTGATTTCCCTTTCATGTGCTCTCCTTTGTCAGTTTGGCCTGTTCTGGTCTGTTTTCTCGGTTTGTGATATTATTTTTGTAACCTTGTGACCCTGTGCTTTCAGCTGCGCAGGGGGAAGATCCTCACCTCTGTCCAGTGTTTCATTCTTTGTTCTAGCAACGATTCTATTTCCTGTTTTTATTGGTTAGAATTTCTGTCATTTCCTCTCTCCTGCTGGCTCTCTTCTCTCTCCTCCTTTGGTTGAGCAGTATCCTTTACGACTAATGCTCCCTTCCTCCCTGTAAACCTTATGTCGTCTGCCCTGCAGGCCTGGAGTCTACTTTACTGCCAAGTGATGCTACCTGGACCGCAGCTGCGTTGTGCAGGGTGTTGCACGCACGCGTAGTGGGGAGACGGGCCTTCATTAGGAAGTTAGCAGTTAAAGCAGATGAAAAAAGTGAGCTCTCAGATGGGAGCACAGAAAGGCGAGGCATCATGACTCGCCACGGCTGTATTTGAATGTTACAGTAGAAACAGATATCAGAAAGCCACCTTGCCCTTGGTATTGCTGTTGCTGTTTAGCACCTTGGGAATTCAACCTCCAGCTGTGCCTGAGCCCCTCTCCATCTCAGCTGGGAGCAGAGGTTTTTTTTGAAGAGCTCGCTAGAGCTCAGCAACCACTAACCAGCTGAACATATTTCTTCCTCCCTTTTGTGCTTTGCGGGCAGAAGGTCTGTCCGTATGTCCGTGTGCAGGTGCAAGGTCTGTCTGTGGATTGGGGAAAGGACGGCGTTGCTCCCTTCTGCAGCTCTCTGCCTGTCGAGGAGCCCTGGGCGCACGGCTGCCACCAGCTGCAGCACTGGGGCTGGGACTCGCTTGCTGTGTTTTCCCAGGGCTCAGGACTGTGCGTGGCTCTCTGCTGCCCTCTGCTTGGGAAAGAGGTGGCAGGACGCGAAGGCAGCAAGCCCGGCTGCAGAGCAGCTGGAGGAGAGAGGAACATCGTGTGTAAGGGGCCAGTAAAGCGAGGCGCCAGGAGCTGTCAGGACCCCAGCACACTGTTCTCAATATGTCAGAGGACCTGTCCTTTGGGACAGTAAACCCAAGCGGATGGAAGAGGCTGGTGGTGCAGGAGACAGCAGTGCAGGGAGACAAAGTGATCTGCTCAGCCATCAGTAGCTGGTGGCAGAAGTGAGATGTCCTGATTCCTAGGCCAAGATCTGGCCTGTGACCCTCAACTCACTTTGGGACCTGGCTGGCCCTTGGTGCCAGTGCATGGCCAGTGCTGGAGGTGAGCGTTACAGAGAGCACCTGCTCAGTCTCACCTGAAATGGGGCATCCTGCAGTTGCCTTGTGGGCAGCTGGTTGTGGCTTCTGAGGGGAGCCCTGCTTTAATGTTTCTGCACCTTTTGAATACGGCATTTTCTCCTGATAATGCTAATTTTTCATGATGAGGGGGGAGGTCCAACATGAATTCTCAACAGAACTGTCTCCCCTCTGGAAAAATACCTGCAGACACTGCTGAAAGGCAAAGATCTCTGGGACCTACGGTTGCCTGCTTCAAACTGGACTGTGGAAGACATTGCCCGCTTCCTGTCAAAGCACCCAGAGGAGTTTGAGATGGCAAATGGCTCAGCATACACCTGGGTGGATGCCTTCAATGAGACAGACCGGGCTATTCAGACCATCTCTCGCTTCATGGAGGTGAGGCCATGCTAGCGTGGGCGAGGAGCTGGGGTGGGACAGCAGCTTGGATTCCCCACGTGCAGTGGGGTGGCTCCAAGTAAGAGAAGGTTTATGTTCCTCATTCTCTGCTCAGTAAATGACCAGGCTTTAGTGCAGCTGAGTGCGGAGCATTTTAGAACATACCATTTATTTAGGTGTCTAAATTTAGATGTGGGGAACCTAACTTTAGGCCTTGTTCTTGAAGCTCTCACTGTGGCCATTGCATGTGATTTCACACCAGTTGTTAACGGGTGGTTGAAAGCAGCTACTCACCTCAGTAGCTTACATTTCTGTATGGCATTTCAGCTGGCGACTGCTGCTGAAGCTGGCGGCTGCTTTAAGTTGAGGAGGACATAGCAAATAATGGAATTTGTTCTAGCTGTTATTCAGTCATCTCAGCAGATGAATGCAAACAGGCACAGGTCTCAGCCTGTCAGGGGCCTGCTCCAAAGCGCTCGGGAGTCTCTCCACAGATTTTTAAGTGCTTTGATTAAGACCCTGTATAGTGGTAACGGAGAAAATAAGTCTCCATTTCTGGAAATTGATGCTTGGATGGGATCCTATAGGCACCATTATAACGGTACCTAATTTCTTGTCTGGAAAACACCTTTGCTGGCGTCTTTCTCAGTGCTACCTGTTTAACCATCAAACAGGTGACCATCAAACAGGAGAGACTGACGACTCTAGCAGCATGTTGGGCTACCATGAATCCTTGCAAAATAATCCAGCATTGCAGCCTTTTCTTAGGTGTGGCATTAGATTGCAGGGTTCTCCTTTTTCTTCCCTCCCAAGCTTAAACAAAGCACGTTTGAGTTCGGTAATCTGATCCCATAAACACGCAGCCTGTCTGGAGTGTAACCAGAACTCTCTGGGCTTCGCAATCTCTCCCTGTTTAGTGTGTCAACCTGGACAAACTGGAGCCTGTGGCAACAGAAGTCAGGCTTATAAATAAGTCCTTGGAGCTGCTGGATGAAAGGAGGTTCTGGGCTGGCATCGTCTTCACTGAAGTAGCTCCTAACAGCATAGAGCTCCCTCATCATGTCAAATACAAGATACGCATGGACATTGACAATGTGGAAAGGACCAACAAGATCAAGGATGGGTGAGTCCTGACTGGTGGCTGTAGGAGCAGTCTCTCATGGGGGCTGAGCTGGCTAAAGATTTCTAATTGAAAAATCTTATTCTCTCGACTCAGGTACTGGGATCCCGGTCCCCGGGCTGACCCCTTTGAGGACATGCGCTATGTCTGGGGAGGCTTTGCCTACCTGCAGGATGTGTTGGAACAGGCCATCATCAGAGTGCAGACAGGCACAGAGAAGACGACAGGGGTTTACGTGCAGCAGATGCCCTATCCGTGTTACGTGGATGACATGTACGTGTGCAGGTTTTTTGAAAGCTCCCTGGATCGTGGCAGCTTTGGAGGCATGGGCTTCTGTTGCTCCTCAGAGGTGGCATAGCATGTCCCTATAATCAGTGTGGGAGCAGATCTCCTTAGCCTCCCTAATCCCTCAAATCAGTGCTTCCACACATAGCACTGAGGATTTAGGGATATGCAATCACTTCTGGAGCCTTTCCCAGAAAGCTCTGTGCAAGACTGAGGTACAGGGTGGAAGGATAACAACAGCAGCGTGTCCCTGAGAGGTTCCCAGACCTGGCTCACGCTGGGGAAAAAGCAGAGACAGAGTGGAAAGAGGAGAGCTGAGAGCAGTCCCAAGGCAAGGCAGCTCTTTCCACCTGCTGTTTCACTGAGTTGGAATTACAGTGCCAGCTCCTGCTCGGGGCTGATGGTGTGCCCTAGACCCACCAGTGTCACCTCGTGGTGAGGCACTGATCCTATGTCATGCTTTGCACAAGGGCTCCTTTATACAGCGAAGCCTTAGCCATCTCTGTGACCTGCTAGACCTTGTGTTGTATCTGTGGCTGCACTGATATTTCTCACTCCCTGCTCTCCTGGCCCCTTTCCACTATCAGATTTCTGCGCGTCATGAGCCGCTCCATGCCCCTCTTCATGACTCTGGCCTGGATCTACTCGGTGGCTGTGATTATCAAGGGTATCGTGTACGAGAAGGAAGCCCGACTGAAGGAGACAATGAGGATCATGGGCCTAGACAATGGCATCCTGTGGCTAAGCTGGTTCATTAGCAGCCTTATCCCTCTCCTGATGAGTGCCGGCCTGCTGGTTCTGATCCTCAAGGTGAGGTCACCGGGGTGGTCTCTCTCCTTTGCTCTCTTGCCCTTGGCATCAACAGCATCTAGAACTTTACTGTCCTGCTGCCCCCTAGCCACAGGTCTGTACTGACACACTGTGGAAGAGGTAGTGGGTGTGGATTGGCTAGCAGCCCTTTGGGAGCAGGTTTCTGGGACCAGGGCTGAGTTGTTGAAAATGACAGGAGGTGCTATAACAGATTCTCTCAATGGTCTTCAAAATATGCCTTTGTTAACTGCCCCGCTTCTGAGAAGGCTGCTGTAGTGTGCAAATTGTAGCAACCCCAGCCCCCCCTGAGCTGCAGCTCTGCAAACTGCCTGTATCGGAGAGTCCTTTCAAAGCCTGATGTGCATCTTGTTCTCTTGACAGATGGGGAATCTGCTGCCTTACAGTGACCCGAGCGTGGTGTTCGTTTTCCTCTCCATCTTTGCCGTTGTGACCATACTCCAGTGCTTCCTCATCAGCACGGTGTTCTCCAGGGCCAACCTGGCAGCTGCCTGTGGGGGCATTGTCTACTTCACGCTGTACCTGCCCTACGTGCTGTGTGTTGCCTGGCAGGACTACATCAGCTTCTCCCTCAAGATCTTTGCGGTGAGTCTTGAGGAGGCTATCGTGGGCGCTGGTCCTCTACCACTATGGCACCCAGCAGCTCTCTAGTCCAATAGTGGCATGTGAGGGGGCAACAGGAAGATGATTTTCCTGTATAGGAGCCTACCAAGGCTGAGCTTGGTGAGGAAGCTGGTAGAACCTACTCAGAGCGGTAGGGAGGGTTTTGCTGGCTTCAGCAAAAGTAGCTGAGCCACGTTAAGCTCCTTAGATCTCTGTGTACTGTGATGATGCTGAACCACTAGAGATGCAGGGCACTGTGAGAAGAAGGTTTTGGTGTGGTCAGCAGAGACCAGCAGAGGCTGCAGTCGGTGATGGGATATCAGAGACAGAGTGCTGAAGTTGTATGTTGCCCTTCTGAAGTTTATTATAGTAGTTATGCTTCTTGGTTTCTGATGCAGCACAATTTGCCATCCTTTTTTCGGAAGGAACAACCTGGCTTCTTTCCTCTCCACAGTATTTCTTAACTATCTGAAGAGGGTGGCTCTTGAGGATGTCTTCCTTCATATAAAAATCCAAGGAGCAAGAGAAGGAATAGGGAAACAGACTGAATTCTGAGTGTTAGTTAGTCCAGCAGAGACTTCAGGCTCTCCCTGCTTGCAAAACATAGAACTAAAACTTACTCGGCCACTCCTTCTCTGTAAACCTGGTCACACTGCTGGGACCTTTGACTTTTCCTGTGAGGCTCTGTGCGATGTCCTAGCCCGGAGTAGATGGTAGTTAAGTACCTGAAAAACTTAATGCGTGTTCGTGCTTCCCATTTGCAGAGCCTGCTGTCTCCAGTAGCCTTTGGCTTCGGTTGTGAGTACTTTGCACTGTTTGAGGAACAGGGAGTTGGTGTTCAGTGGGACAACTTCTTCAAGAACCCATTGGAAGAAGATGGCTTTAGCATCACCACATCTGCTGTCATGATGTTGTTTGATACCTTCCTATATGGCGTCATGACTTGGTACATTGAGTCTGTCTTCCCAGGTGAGGTTTGCTTCTGGGG